AAAATACTAAAACACCCAAAAAGCCCCCCCCCCCCCCCAAAAAAAAGGGCGTGTTACTATGGAATCAACTAGCAGCTCCTGAATTCAAGATGGGCACTTATCACCTTTCACGCTTTACTGTTAACTAATAATTTTCTAACAGTGAGACTTGGAAGCAAGCAGAGGCAGGATACCGTACTCAATCTAATCAATATTGTATATTAGAGTTCCCCGGTCACAGCACTTTCTCCCCCTTTTTTCAGTCACAGCGCCCTTTAAAAGTACAATCGCTTTAATCTCTTGATCAAAAATGTAAATGCAAAAACATCGTGTCCCCTCCTAAATCCAATCCAGACTCTTATCCCACATAATGGTCTGGTATAGAGTTTAAGGGAGCACCCCTTGCAAAGACACAAAAAAAAGTGAGGTTCCTCCTTTCACATCAGAGTCCTTCCTTCACATTGGAAGCCCCATCACATCAGAGTCCTCCCTTCACATTGGAAGCCCCATCACATCAGAGTCCTCCCTTCACATTGGAAGCCCCATCACATCAGAGTCCTTCCTTCACATTGGAAGTCCCATCACATCAGAGTCCTTCCTTCACATTGGAAGCCTCATCACATCAGAGTCCTCAGTCCAGTCAATCACATCAGAATCCTACCAATATACCAGGATCCCCAGCTGGGGCAGCATGGCAAAGGACGGAGGTGGAGACGAACTTCCGTCCTTTTCTGATGGATCCCAACCTCCCAGGATTTTTGTATTGTCAAATGTAGGTATCTGCAATGCATTTTTTATGTTCTTACAAAGTATGTCTGGAGAGGCTTTTATTCTAGCAAAGGTTGGATTACATCCCAAGGCCTAAAGCTGGTCATACAGCTTCAGAAAAATCAAATCATTCCCCCATTCATGCTAAACAGTGTGGATGGAGGGAATTTCCCCTACCTTCCCAAACCAGCTCCTTTGATAAACGTTGGATTTTTGTCGAGCTAAGTGGTGGCGGCGGCGGGGTCCATCGAATTTTGTCCGATGGTCGATCCTTGTATGGTAAGCTTAATCTACACAGAACATTTTTAGCAATTCACTCATCTGTAATCTGCCAGAAATGAGCTCATGTACTTTTTCCAGCGACAGGCGTTTTTCAGCTAGTGACAAAGCGCTCATATGTGTGAACAGGGGCCATAGAAATGAATGGAATTCCTTGTCTTGAGTGTTTGGTCATGGTTACCTTTGAGCAAAGCATCTCGGTGTGAAGAGGGATTAAGCAAATTCTGACCAGATGTAGAAATGAGGAACTGAATTATTTGATTTTGTCTCACGTTTCGTTCTACAGGGATGGATTAAACTTCAGCTCCATTAAAAAAAAAAAAAAACCCAACCAGGACCATTCTTGCAAAACTGCCACGTACATTCGTTCTGTGAGCATGGAGGCAAAAACAAATGTAATTGATATATTTTCTTTCCAGGTCGAATGTAATTCATTCATAGGATTAGTAAATCAGGAAAATGCTATATTATGACCACTAGATGGAGCCAAAGATAACAGGAAAGTATTTCCTCTGTTCCTCAGCTCCATCTGGTGGCCATAATACAATATTTTTTTCTGATTCTTTAAACTTCTATGGATAAATTATAATCCACCTGGAAATAAAATATACTAATAATAACATTTGTTTTTGCCTCCATGCTTACAGAATGAATTTGTTTTTGCTCTCCTTTGCACAGAACGAATGTACATGGAATTTTAAAGGATAAATGGCCGTGCAGATTTTTTATAAATACACCACATAACGTTCTACATCTGTCCCGTTCTTTTGTATTTTGTGCTATTTAAAATTAAATGCCATTATAAAAATATATTGTTGGCAATGATTTTATGTTCTTAAATGTGATAAAATTAAAGCAGTACTGAGCGAAATAAGGAGTTTGCCAGAGAGATAACAGGTTTAGAAAAAGCAGTCAGTGGTGGCAATCATGCTGATCCAATGGTTTCAACACTTGGCACCAGGATGCACTATAGGAAGAAGGCAAGCCGACGGAGGCAGTGTGATGCTTTGGGCAATGTTCTGTTGGGAAACCTTGAGTCCTGCCACTCAAGTGGATGTTCCTTTGACACGTACCACCTGCCTAAACATTGTTGCTGACCAAGTACACCCCTTCATGGAAAAGGTATGCCCTGATGTCAATGGCCTCTTTTAGCAGGATAATGTGCCCTGCCACACTGCAAAAATAGTTCAAGAATTGTTTGAGGAACAAGAGAACGAGTTTGAGGTGTTGACTTCGCCTCCAAATTGTCCAGATTTCAGTCCTTTTCTGGCACTAATAACAATTCAATGGTTTTGCTATTAAACTGCTGACTTAGAACGAGTGTGACATCTGGAGGTCTATTTATTTTTTTACAAAATTGCACAGCTATTCATCCAGCAAAACTGTATGTACATTCGTACTGTGCAAATTAACCAGCTGTTACGAGAATGGGGCAGAAATCACATGTTCTGAGGCTATTTTCTCTTCTGGGTCAATGTTTTTCTAATATTATGGGCGGTAGTGGATCGGGAAGCTACTGCATTATGGCCACTAGATGGAGCCGAGGATCATAGGAACTAATTACATCTTAGTAACAAGATACACTGTAACAATTCTACAGAACACTGGTGAGAATTAGCAGATGTAATGTAACCACTGAGACCACAGAGATCCCTGCAGTAGCAATGGTTACATTTAGCTGCCAATTCTGCTAATATTAGAACATTTAACCAGTAGAGAAGACAGCCTCAAGAACATTCCATGTTGTCCCCTCCTCAAAAGGGGCCTGAACATAACCTGTATTGCCAAAAGTATTGGGACGCCGGCCTTTACACGCACATTAACTTAAATAGTCCGCAGGGTTCAATATTGAGTTGGCCCACCCTTTGCTGTTTTAACAGCTTCAGCTCTTCTGGGAAGATGTCCACAAGGTTTAGGAGTGTGTCTATGGGAATGTTTGACCATTCTTCCAGAAGCGCATTTGTGAGGTCAGGTACTGATGTTGGAGGAGAAGGCCGGGCTCGCAGTCTCCCCTCTAATTCACCCCAAAGGTGTTCTATCAGGTTGAGGTCAGGACTCTGTGCAGGCCAGTCAAGTTCCTCCACCCCAAACTCTCTCATCCATGTCTTTATGGACCTTGCTTTCTGCACTGGTGCGCAGTAAAGTTGGAACAGGAAGGGGCCATCCCCAAACTGTTCCCACAAAGTTTGGAGCATGAAATTGTCCAAAATGTCTTGGTATGTTGATGTCTTAAGAGTTCCCTTCACTGGAACTAAAGGGCCAAGCCCAACCCCTGAAAAACAACCCCACACCATAATCCCCCCTCCACCAAACTTTACACTTGGCACAATGCAGTCAGGCAAGTACCGTTCTCCTGGCAACCAGCAAACCCAGACACCTCCATCGGATTGCCAGACAGAGAAGCGTGATTCGACTCCAGAGAACACGTCTCCACTTCTCTAGAATCCAGTGTCGGCGTCCTTTACACCACCGTATCTGACGCTTTGCATTGCAC